TTTGAACTGCAGGAGATTGTCTTGACCATGTCTACATGCCTAAATGCACTGAGTTGCCGCCATGTGATGGGCTGCTTAGAAATTAAGTGTTAACGAGCAGTTGGACAGGTGTACCTAATAAAGTGGCCAGTGAGTGTATACTGCCAATATTTTCTGGCAGTTTAGAGTAGACCTTAAATCAGTTAATAACTCTTAAATGGGTTGCTTTCAATATTCCACATGGGTTCAAACTGTTTGTTGGATATAAAAAAGAACATATTTTTGTCCTTACAGATTGTATTCTTTCTAATCCAACAATCTAACTTAAAAAAAAACCTACCATGAATTATAACCATTAAATTTTAAAAATTAGTTTGTTTTTTCCTTCCTTGCTTCAAACAAACATGATTCTTATTTTTTTCAGCTCAGCATAGTTGAAGCTATTTAGGAGAAATCCTGATATTCTGAGTCCGAGCCCCACTCCCACAGCCTGCCACTCTGGGTCTGAGGACCTTAACCCCACACGTTTCAATACTAGTTGCTAGACTGTTTTTCCATGCGGTACAGAAGAAACTAAAGGAGCTGGAGTGCCGCTACAGCGAGATTCGTTTCCTGTGGTTTAACATTATTTTGTGTCATCAACGTGTGTTGCTACTAATTTAGTTTGCAGTGTACTTTTAAATTCTCAGATTGTTTCTAGTGTTGTCACGGGTTCCTGTACCTTATTGGGTTTTAAATAAGAATAATAAAGTCTGTTTTTAATTGTAAAAGAATGTAAAAATAAAATATATTTTGTACACTAGTTCTGTTTGATCATTTTAAGCCAGACCTATCTATGTACTTTTAATCGGGAGACCCTATGCTGCTTGATATTTTTAGAGGTCTACCAGTTGGCTTTAGGGCCACGTCCTCTTTCACAATCCGGGGTCTTTCTCCACGTTACTTTGTGTTGTTTGAACCAGTAAAATTGCACATTCCACTGTTTAATCGCTGTTTGGAGCTGAATAATGCAGAACTAAAGTGTGGTTTCTTAGTATGAACACTTGATGGCGCTCTGCTATCATCACCTCTGTAAACAGAAAGCTTGTGACATTGCATGTTTAGAGTAAACAGTTCAGAAGGCTAATCACCAGAGATGGCAAAAGTACTCACTTTCCGTACTTGAGTAAAAGTACAGATACTTGTGTTAAAAAATACTCTGGTAAAAGTGGAAGTA